ATTTTATAAATAGCAAGCTAGGTAGATATAATTGGAACATCAGACTTGCAAATTATAATCAACGCTAAGATAATTATGAGAACCTTAAATCCGGTACTGTGGAGTAAAGCAGTGCCTTAAAAAAAAAACTGTATTATATACATATAAATCTTTCTTGGTAAGTGTTACTTCAGCCGTGTGAATTAAGCTGAATCTTGAATAATTTAAGAGAGTCAATCAAAAAGACTGCCAGCTCTAGAAATTTAGTATTAGAGGCGATCATATAGCGGGCGTAACCCGCCTACAAAAATTGAAATAATTAAACAATTGGAGAACATACTCTGCATCAACGAAAAAACTGAAGCGGTATTATTTATTTATTTCCACCCTCCCATGCCACAATGGCAATACGGGTGTTTGCAATAATGTGTTTTAGGCATGAATACTTAATAACACACTACTACTAGATATGCACATATATAGTTCTTCTGTTTTATCTTCTTCCTTCTTCTTTCGGCCTAGCTTTCAGAATCTGGAGGTCTTCCTGGCGCTTGTCCTCTTCTTCTGCGAGCAGCAATATGGAAGTGAGCGGGCCCCACTGCAGTCTACCATCCATTTATGAAATCCTTAAACCGCGGGAAATTTTCCTCACTGACTAACTGAGGAAACTCATTTTCAGTGAGGACATAGATTCCCGCGGCTCTTATCATTGTCGCTCTTAACGTTGCAAACGCGGTGCAGGTCGTGACCACGTGCTCTACAGTTTCCGGAACACTACAGATTGGGCATAGAGGATCTACATCAATGCCCAGACCGTGAAGTTTAGCTTGAAATCCTCCATGCCCCGTGAGGAACTGGGAAATCCAGTAGTCCGGGAGGACCCACTTTGCCTGAAGCCTCGGCTGTACTGTGGGAAAGTACTTCCGCAATGTACTTCCTTTAGGGGTTGTTACCCATGCTTCGATTGTTACCCCGGTTCCATGCTTCAATTGTATCCTCCCGGAGTATCATCTTTCACCTATTAGGCGCTTTCATAATCCTCACCTGTAGATTGTCCGAAAGTACTGTAGAGCCTTCTATCTTGTATGAATATTTCGTCACTTCTTCTAGTAGGAGGAGGTCGAGAGGCACCACCTCCGCTAGAACCTGCACCGCTTCATGCGAAGTTGTCCTATATGCTCTGGTGACCCGAAGCAGAGCTGTCCTCTGAGTCGAGGCTAGCCTTTTTTTTTGTCTTAGTGTGAGATTACGGAACCAGAAGGGAGACGCATACCTCAGGATACCCTCCACAACTCCTTTATATATCGTGATTGTGGCTGGATACCTAAGGCCCCAGAATGCGCCTCCAACGCGAGTTAGACCATTCATTGCTAGAGCCACCCTACCTGCCATATATTCCAAGTGAGGTGTCACATTTAGGCCTAAACCTAACCTAACTCCTAGGTAGGTTACCACCTCACTTGGACGTATCCTTTGGCCTTCTATATTCATTGTTATAGGGTGTGCCCTGTCAGTCTTGTCCTTGAGGAGAATGGCTTGAGTCTTGGCAGCAGCCATCCTCATCTTCGTCCCCTCACACCACCTCGCGACCAGGCCAGCGCATCGCTCTGCTTCTGTCTTGACTCCAGCTCTGCTGTTTGAGGCCACCACAGCAGCTAGGTCATCAACATAGGCAGTAGCAGGGAACCGCTCTTCCTCTAACACTCCCAGCAATTCATCGAAGACAAGCTTCCACAGAGCAGGGAAAAGGACTGATCCCTGAGGGCATCTCCTCTCTATGGAAGCTTCTACCTCATAGTGATTCCCTCTGATCTTGACACGCCTGTCATGGAGGTAGCTTCTTACAAGTGAGTATAAATTGCTGGGAGCATCGTATTTCTACAGCTGCTGGAGCACGTTATTGCAAAACGATACTAGGAATCGAATTCCAAACCCCGTTTGCATTAAAATTGCTTGTTACACATTTTTATAAATGTCTCATCCTGTAAAACCAAAGAAGAACCGTGGTTTTTACAGACCAAAAGCAAAATCACAGGATGAGCAAACAGATAAATCAGAGGAAGCACCGCAGCCAGAGACAAAGCAGCAGCCAACTCAGGAGGAAAAGAAAGTCACAGCGAAAACTTCAAAAAGCCAGAAAAGTCAAAACGTAGTAGCGGACAAGCCAAATACATCAAGGAATGAAGCAAAAGTGCCTGCCCCACGTCACTTGGCTACCACCCAGACGGCATACAAAAACGATCATTGATGATTGTACATGGATAGTTTAGTGATCGACGGCGATCGCGGTTTTACAGTAACACCGCCAGCTAAAAGATTCACAGCAAGTTTCGACTCGTTCCTGTCATTGGTGCATGAGGATTATGCACAGCTAGTATCGGCTAATAGACCTTTCGGTAAGCTTGTATCTCTTTCGGTTTACGCGTACTATAACGTACAACACCTGTGGGCCAGAATCTTTGCTGTGTTAAGACATAGACGCCTTCTTAGCGTTCAGGAGAATGAACACCTTCTCAAGTTCGACCACAACAATTATCCTGTGTCAGAGAGTATTAATGCTTACTTGCGTTGTATTGGTGATTTCGTCGATACCAACGGCGTCAAACACATCTTTCATCCACGTTTTAAGCCAAATTCTCTCGGCCATTTCGAAAAGATTACGGCTGAAAATCATAATGCTTACGAGGCTTAACCAGCGAACCGGATAGTCTACGAGCGTATCCTTAAGGATATCGAATTGACGGAACGCAATCTCGCAGACCCAATCTGGGAGTTATTACAAACTGAAGCGGTATGAGCATGCGATGAGGATGAAAGAGGGACGATGGCCTTAACGAATTTTTGACTAGAAAACAGAAAGAATACGGTGAAAGGTCACCCGAGGGAAAACTGTTATGAGGGAGGAAAGTAATGGAGAACAGGAGTATACGCAAAGGAGAATAGCAGGTCAGAAGAAGATGAAAAACAAAACAAAAGCAAACATTTAGGGACAACATGTGACCGTAGTAAAAGTCGTAAAGTAAAAAAAAATGTAACAGACCACACCTTAAAAGATTACAAGAGGCAATAAAAGGCCGAACATTTCAAAAATATATTGTCACTATTTGTCTGTGGGCTGATATATTATTGGGAATCAATTCACTAATGAATTAGCATTGTATAAGTCGTTTTCATTTTTCGAGTATAAAATATGTTTCGGCATTCGGAATCACTGAAAGATACTTGGAAAAACAAATTGAGATACAACAGTAAAATAACTAATTTTCTTGACTAAGAAATCGGCCACCATTAGATAAAATGTCCCAGAAAATAAATAGATAAAAATTTACGCATAATTTCATCCATTACCATTACATACATACAGCACTAACTTCATTTCTTTCTGTTATATATTTGTCATAATTTTTTTTTTTTTGGTTGTTATATTGTTTTTATTTAGACCTGATGAAGGCCTGAATTCAGGTCGAAATACATTTTTAAGACACGATTTGGTTTTCAAATTATAATTGAAAACTCTTTTTGTTTTGAAAGAAAAGCTCTTTTATTTTTTGTTACTAAGACATTGACCCAAATTTTACTTTAGCATTCGAGTCCCCAGTAAGTACTGTGGGAACGCTGAAAAGAGACTTAGCCGTGAGGCAGAAAGCCCTAGCCAAGCTAATACACTCCGCCATAGCCTCCGGCTGCTAAACAACCATCTCACTTTAATCCCAACTCATAACTCCCACCACCGGGCTACATTTGCACAGCGACAGTACCCTAGATATCAGTTTCTTGCAATTAAAGGCTGAAATAATTACGACGAAACATTTTTTATACATGATGCACATTTAGGATTAAGTTTGTTCATTTTTAAATGAATTTCTTTCCACACATTAAATATAGCTTAAAAAAGTCATTTAATCAAGACTTGTAAAAAATTTAATATTTTACATTAATGGTTCATCTTTTAACCTTTATTATTTAATTAATTGAATATATCCTGTTCAACATCACTAAATCTTCTGCCTTTTTTTTATTGCAATTTATAATTCAAATTCAGTCAGTCAAGATATAAAAATAAGATATTAAATCCCTAGTCAATATATGTTGATAGTAAATCATTATTAATTGGCACTACATCCCAATTATTCGAGACTTGGCCTGCTCCAGCATGGATCTCCAGTTCTCCCGGTTAGTTGCTGCAGCCTTCCAATTTCTGACACCAAGTTGTCTACATACATCAGCAGCCACACAGTCTTGCCAGCGCAAACATGGTCTTCCTACTCGTCTGTTTCCAAACATAGGCTCATTAATCATGGTAAATCATTGATCATGCCAAAGAAGTTCACGAAACAGACTTGTTTATTTTGCTCAGTCCGACTTGAGCTATCCCCGAACTTGCTGAGGCTCACATGTCTACTTCGTAGATGGCTAAAGATAAGCACGTTATATGCAATGCGTATACTAGGGTCATAGTTCGGGCATGTCAAAAAATATAAGTGATGAAATATATTCCCTTTGCTCATATGTATTGATGATACTGTATATTTGTATATTAGTTTTAAGAATTGTCCATTGTACTTATTGGTAAGTATGCTGTGTTTATAGCTTAATTGTGCAGCATCCATTTATTGGGTGAATTTTAGCACCTCTTTATTATAAAAATAAAGTTATTCTGTCTTTAATAATATTGACCGTCAATTGGACCCTTTAGAAAAAGGATATTTAGAAACATAGGCATAGGCATACGAGGATTTTAAACAACTTCAATCTGTCATTGATACGTATATTAAACTAGGTGTCAAATATAATATATAAATATTCTGTTCACTTTTCATAGAAAAATTTCAGCACCGATTTAAACGATACTTCTAAAATGTGGCAGAAATAAAGAGAAAGTATTTATGAATGCTATTTTATTCACATGGTTAAAGACCTTTTTTCTTCTTGATATCGGTCACAGAAGCTAACATCGAAAACAATTTTTTCACTTAAGAGATTTGCCTTCCTGATTGGACTGGACTCGAGCCCTAGAGAGATCAAAGGGCATTCCAAATACAATATGACTTACGGCCCTTCTGGAGGGATAAACCCAATTTAGTAGGAGCCACTCGCTGTGCGGAGTCTGGTAGCCAAAGGGAATCCCATTGTAGGCAGCCCTCACTGCACCTCCAATCCTGTTTCACTATTACCAACAGTTTGTATTTAAAATTAAATTATAAAGGTAAAGTTAACGTTGGAATAGCGACATTTTATAAGAAATAAAATAAAATAAAAGCAATCCAATAAATGTTAAATCAGAATCAAGAAATATAAACCAAAACTATGCACAGAATAAATAATATACATAGTATAGTCTTATTTTATGTTTTACATTAGAAAATATTAGAGCGCTACAAATGGTTAGATTCTCTACAAGCCTCATGCCTTGTATTTCTCTGTAACACATTTGCTGAATGTATATTGATTAGAATATAGTTGTAAATTTCATATTGACGAGAATGCGTACAGTACTAATAAGAAATGAAACAAAATAATTGCTGAAGAGATCGTTGACGTGTTCAGTCAAAAATAAATAAATGATATTTATTTTTATTCTTGCACACTAAGTTATTATTATTAAACGGCATTACATCCCAATTATTCGAGACGGCCTGCTCACCAAGCTATTAAGTTTTCCAATTTTCCGAACAATGTAACTAGATCAAGTATCTAGAAAGGGCTGCAATAGAACGGTATATGAAACTGAAATGGCGGAATACTCACAGACAATTCTTGTTGTTAAACCTGCGGATCCTACTCAACGACGATCAACAACCGATTTAAATTCCACAACTAGCTCGACAAAGAATATAAGACAATAACATTCAAAAGGTTCATTTCTATTCAAAAGGTGGTTTACATTTTGTAGAGTTTAGTCCCTTGATGACTCTAGGTACAATACTAATAAGAAATGAAATAAAATAATTGCTGAAGAGCAGATGGTTGGGATGTTCAGTCAAAAATAAATAAATGATTTTTCTTTTTATTTCTACAGACCAAGTTATTATGTTTTCCAATTTTCCGAACAATATCACTATATCAAGTATCTAGAAAGGGCTACAATTGGACGGGATATGAAACTGAAATGGCGGAATACTCACAGACAATGCCTTGAGATGGGACTCGAGATACCCCCAACAGTTGCAGGGTCCCTGATAGTAAACCCACTATTATACAAAGGGCTACTCCTTGATAATCTTGTTAATTCATCTTCAGCAATTTCCAATCCTCATCTAAGTAAACGATTTACATTATTATTATTAACATGTAAAGTGTGAAAATAAACCATGAGGAAATAATGATATAAACTACAAATTGAGTTTCCATACTCTTGAAGACTTCAAAAATGGTTTTCGAACTGACCTTATGTAACCATGACTCTGAGTAGGTGAAACGTTTTGAAAGAAAGTGTCGACCACAGATCTACCGCCCGATTCGAGGAAATGATTCTCTCTATCCATATGAGGAAAAATGGAAAAACTGTTTGACTTTTCCGAAGGTTATCGATACCAAGTTGTTCACGACACATCGACTTCGTCATAACCTTCAATACTACTTAAGAAGTAGTTCCACGGCAAATATCTCCTCGGAACTATGAAAAAAATTTACTTCCTCTTTGCTCATGAGACTATGACTGCACTCAATTGAGAACATATTATTTTTACGTGAAATAAAACGCATGGTGTGCTAAACTAGTTTTATATAGCTGTGAGAAAGCAGCAAGGGGCTGGGAAGATGGTACCATCAATATACACCTTCATTACCATAAGAAGACCTTTACGATCCTATTCAACAACTTAACTAATACTCTAATGATCCTCCAGGTAAGTGAGCATATGCATGTAATTACAGCAAAATATAAAATTAAACAATTAAATTTTTATGTAGGTTTTTTATGAGGTTTTTCCTATTGTATAAAATGGATTTCAATCTACTAAACAACATTCATACCACTAGTATGTCATGTATAAGGTTACTGCAACCACAGACATGGAATTTATCATTTTGACTTGATGTAATGTATATATAAAAAAACAAAAAAAAAAATTAAATTTTTTAATTGAAAACAGTCCACTATTTCTATTTCTATTTCTAGATATGTTAATATTCAAGCCATGTGTCATATCCAGGCAAATGGAAGGCATATTTAAACAAAGCTTTTTTCAGAGTTCAACGCATTAAGTGGCTAATTTGTTAACAGGATGGGTGATGTGACAGCAGCTAAAAAATATATTAAGAAAAATCCTAAGGTGTAAAACTTCACCGAAAAACAATGGCTAAATGTAGTGATAGCGTTCTTGAGGATATGAAAATATGCGGGATCCCAATCACTAAAGTTGGCAATTGGGGTAGAGAGGTTAAGAAGTCAAAAGACAGCTTCATGCGTCTGCCGTGCCGATAATTTAATTTGAGGTGTGACTGCATTTCCTTTGGTATATGTAAGTAGATTTCGATAATCCAATATTTGGAATAGTGCTAATGATCACTACAAGAACAAAATACTCTACACATATCTTTTGCGATTGCCCAGAAACATTTCAAAATAAGCCGATGAAACATTAAACACTTTTTAAATGTTTTTTAATGTCTCTTTAATATCTTTATTGCAACCAAAGAGGTGTTTAGAGAAGAAGACAAGAAAGCCTTCTATGAACTCTTAGAAGGACTCTGTATGCCTGACTACTAAATTACAGACTAAATTATTAAGTTTTCCAATTTTGTGAACAATGTAACTAGATGAAGTAAGAACTGAAACAAAATAATTGCTAAAGAAAAGATGGTTAGCTGATTTGAAAAATAGCTAAAATTATTACACATACCTTTTGCTCTACACATATCTTTTGCAATTGTCCAGAAACATTTAAAAATATGCCGATGAAACATTACTCCTGTATGCCTTCCCTAGGTATGATATGAAAGTAATTGCTGCGGACTTCAATGCCAAGTTGGGAAAAGAGGCAATATACCAGCGGATAATAGATAAGATAAGCTTACATGATACAAACTGCGATAATGGACAGAGGCTCATTATGTTTGCAGAGTCTAGAACCCTAGTTGTAGGGAATTGTGTACACCTAGGTTTGTTATAAATGCAGTACCAAATCAAAATGATAAGGAAATTTCCTGACATCCGTAGTAGATTTTATTTTCAAATGATGAAATATTGTTAATAATTTATGTTTTTATTGAAAAATAAATCTGAAGAAAGCAACTCTATCATTGAAGAAAATCGCAATGTATTTTCGAAATATTATGAACATATTTATCTTAAAAGCATATATAACCACTTAAACGAGTTACATGAAATCTAAATATGATTAATAAAACACGAATCTACATTTTGATTTATTAAACTGATGAAACGGAAAGGCAATGAAGAGATCAAAAGAAAGCTTTAGCATAATGCTCGATAGCCAAGGAGCGGAATAATGAACGCTGGGGAAGTTTCTTATCTTCGGCTTTTAGTTTCAAAACAGCTTAAGTTCTGTACACACTGCAAAGTTTAACAAGACTCTTTGTGAGTATAGAGTTTATGAAATATATCAGCAATGTGCAGGAATTCTTGTTGTTAAACCTGCGGATGAAACTCGACGACGATCAACAACAGACTTGAATTCCACAAATGGCTCGACAAAGGATATAAGATAATATTTCACTTCAATCATGAGAAAATAAAACTAAATACTTTTCTATTCAAAAAATGGTTACCATTTTATAGAGCTTAGTCCCTTGATGACTTTAGGTACAATGCTAATAAGAAGTGAAACAAAATAATTGCTGAAGATAAAATGGTTACTGTGTTCAGTCAAAAATACATAAATGGTATTTATTATTATATTTGCCGTTGTTTCGGTCCAATGTTCAGACCTCCATCAGGGCTAAGAAAATGCCAGACAACAATATGGAAAACTGTTGATTTTGAAACAAAAATAATAAAAAGTAATATTAATAATAATAATGTAAGTATCATAAGAAAAAAATTAATAACAGTAAAAGAGAGAAACTTATGAAATATTGTAAAATATTTTTATTAGTTGTTTCATAAGTTAATCTCTTTTACTGTTATTATTGTTTTTCATATGTTCCTTTTATTATTATTAATACTACTTTATATTATTTTTTTTTCATAGTCAATAGTTTGTCATAGTCTGGTCTTTTCTTAGCCCTGAGCTTTGGACCGAAAAGTCGGCAAAAATAAAACTAAATATCATTTATTTATTTTTAATTTATTTATTTATTTTATTTCATTGTTTGTGCTTGCATATACAATTTGTACACTTAAGTATTATTAATTTTAATTTTTAATGTAATAGTTCTGACCAGAAGCGATTCTTTGTTTTTCTGTATCATTGTGTTATACAGGGACTTAGTCACAGAATGATGTTATTTTTCTATTTATATAAATTAGGGAGATGGTAAAAAAAACTTTGTATTTATATTACTTTTATTTTCCAGATAAACTTATTTTGTAAATCACTGTGTGAATAAAACGGTTATGAATAATCCGGATTTAACGAGATCGATACCGATGCACAACTTGTTATAAATATTCTTATCATGACCTAAAATTCTAACAGAATCGTCCAGCTCGGCTAATGAGCATATAGATGTTACATAATGGAATCTGGGAAGATAGAAACGAAAGACTCGCTTAAACTTAAGGATGCACTCACGCCAAACATTAAACTTAACTAAAATGGTCTGAACGAAATCGGCACTTACTGTGATAATGGTTCGATAAAATGAGATGCAAAACGTGATGAGGCATTTTATTTCGAATGGGCAATTTTGATCCTTATCGCGAGAAGCGCTAAATGCTACAAATTAAGGCCGTTACGAGGGATTTCTAAGCAGATTGTTACTGAAATTAATTTGAGCGCTACAATTATGACCTCACAAAAAGTCCTCTGTAAACGGAGTCAGATCTGAAAATTATAAGTCATAGAGTTTTAGAGTTTTTTATGTTTCTCGTAAAATAATTAATTTAATGCTGAGGAATAACTATTAAAGCTACAACAGACAAGAATCACATATTTGATGAAATCATGGAATGAAAGTTAATCTTCCTAAATGTACAACCTAAGTTTCAAGAGCTTGGGATATAAAAATGTCGCGCTATCATAGCTCAAGGGCGTAATAACCAAGTTGTTGATTGCCTAGGGGAACTCTTAACCTAACCTAACATACAAACGTCAGGAAATTGATACATGAACAAGGCAATTGCAACCTGTGAACATTATAGTTTTTTCGATCAGCGAGAATGCCGGGCAAAATTTTTAAATCAATAATTTCCAGTGTGGAAAACACTACATCATAATTCATAGGTAAGTGTGGAAACCTGAAATGTCCCCGCACACGAAACTAAATTTGACGCAAAAACAAAAGTAATCTGTGGCTTCCTGAAATGCATTCAAATCATTGAAATTCATGAATTCATTAAGATTAATAGAGGAATTACTAGGTATCCCCCATTGCATATTGTTTGTCCAATTTTACAGAAAGGTCTAATCAAATATTTTAAGAAAAAAATTATAAACTGCAATGAACTTATAAAATATTCAATGGCAAAGATTGGAGCAGTTTATAGAAATAGAAATAGAAATAGAAATAGAAAATAACTTTATTCTGGGACAAAGTCCCTTTAGAATAACAAAATAGAACATGATTAAAATACAAAATTTATTATCTGGCCAAAATAAAACAATAATAAAAAAGAGAAAGTAAAGAAAATATTAGTCAAACAAGCTATATACAAAAAAAAAAAAATCTATATACAAAACACTTAAACCTATGATAAAACACTTAAGACTATGTAAAACACTTAAGTATGAAAAATTATAATTATACTCTTTTGAAAAATAAAATAATAAAAAATACATTGAGTTCTTCTTTAAAATGAGGTGTGCTTCTACTAACAAAGTAAAGACAAACCTGACAATATAAAATATCAGTGTATTTAAATAATGATTAATATGTAGACTCATCATTGTCAAATGCTAGCTATAGGTACAGATTTAATTATAAACGAATAAAAAAAAAAAAAAAAAGAAACAAACAATAGATGCGGTCAGTGGTATTAAGAGCAGGAAGATATTGTAATATCCCTAGTGAAGTTCACAGTATAGAATAGTACTATCGTTTGATGATGACTAGAAATGTATAATATCGAAAGTTTAGCAAGTATCTGACTGTTTTTGTGATAGGAATTGGAATAGGAGGGATTTGAATGTGGATATGGAGGGGGAATGTCGAATTTTGATAGGTAGAGAATTCCAGAAATTGACAGCGCGAGCTATAAAGGAATTCTGAAATGAAGCAGATCTGTGAGAAGGGATGTAGAGGTCAGAAGGTCGAGATCTTGTTGAAAGGGAATGGACTGAGGACTTGAATTGGAGAAGGTTGTAGGCGTAAGAAGGACGATGGTTGTTGATGATTTGATAGAGGAACGTACCTAGGAAATATTGTCTCCTAAAGGAGGGGAAGAGCCACCTTAACTCAGTGTAGTGGTGAGAGACATTAGTTTATGTATCATATATACGCTTAAAAATATAGGATGTTTTTGATTCAGCAATACAACATATAACATTCATTAGTTATATGTAAGCAAAAGCTTAAGGTTATGCAACAAAAATTATTCCTTTCTTATTTTTTGACGAATTAAAGTTTATTTAGATTAAATGTATTAGATAATTTTAAGTTGTTTTAAATAACACAAGGCTGTTTAATGTTTCCAAAGTTAATTGTTTTTATTAATTCTATTATTATTATTATTTATTTTCATTGTATGTATTTTTAGGGCAACTCCAGGCAGACGGTTCTATACCGTTACCAAAAAAAAGTTTTCTTATTAAATAAAAAGCAAAAAAGGAATATGTAAATGTATATGAAATAAAGCTTTCTATCTATCTATCTACTAAGTATCCCACATTGCATATGCCTCTGACTTGAAATTTGTGAATATAAACTTTTAGCATCAAGTCACTTTATAAGCACCATGCAATAGATTGAATTTTATCTAACAGAGTTATTGATATATTTAGAATTGATTACATATTCCTCCTTACACAATTACTTCCTAAGACAAAAACAAAGGCCATTCTTGTTCCTTCTTTTTGTATTATTTTTATATTTTTAAACCATCTCTATTCGCCAGTACTACTCTACACTTTCCAAAAAACAACTTATTCCTTTATTACCTAGGAAATGACAAACGCCCTTTTGTGAAAATTAAAACGCAATAATCACAAAAAAACTGAACATTGCGACTATTATAAGGGACTTTTTCTCAGAATAATTGTTCATTCATTAGCTCATTGTTCTATTACGTAAGCGAAAAAGAATGTATTGTCTTCAAACTTTTTGTTGCTTAAGGAAATAATTTATTTGCCATCGAATATCTTCAAAATTGTTTTACTACTTACATATTCTACATTCAAGAGACAAATTTTAAAAGGATAATAAATACTCATCGAAAATGCAAATTTCCTAGTTTTTCGTTTAAAAAAAAATTTGTGTTATAAGATTGTTTTATCGTTGGAATGAAGCGGTAAATTGGTAAATGGTAGTATCAAATTGAATTGAATCGGCGTTCTCTGCAATATTTTATTAACAATACAATATACAATGAAATATGAAATGTAGGGATTAATTTTCTATTTTTAAATGTTATAAAAAATAAATAAATCAAAACATATTTTAAAAGCAAGCCGATATCTTTTCTCCTTATATTTTATTTCGATTTTTTTTTCTTTCGTTTTTAGCAAATTGTTCGATAAATTAACACCTTACCCTCCCCCCCCCAAAAAAAAATACCTTTGAGAAATAATATATAAAAATAATACATATACCTAAATTAAAGTGGTCATAGATCATATTATGGAAAATATAATAAAATGATAATTTTTGACTTTTTAACTTAAGAATAAATTTAACTCTGCAGTATTTTTCATGATTTATTGATTTAATAAAAAGTAATACTGCTCATTTATCAAAATTCCTGATCTCAGCAACCTGAGTCAGTTTATGAGCGGGTGAGAACATCCCTAATGATGAATCTGAAATAATTGCACATGATAATATTGTCGGTCAATCAATTTCCAATCGGTGGCATATTATTCAATTGTCTCAGAATAAAATATTTTCTAAAATGAAACGTCCCGTCCATTCACAAAAATGATCCCGCTCAGAGAGATTCGAGAGCGGCTGACGTTGAGAGTTAATTTTTCTTGAGTGAGATCCGCACTGGGTAAACAAAGCTATAATTCCAACTGTTATCTGGCTATTTGGCTGGATCTGCTGACCTTATCCGAACCCCTACATATGGAGCCGTCACTCCCTCCATGAAAATATTGCTCCTATATCTCTTCTGCTCTGGGGCAGGTCCCTTCCTCAGCAGATGCTCTATCAGTTTGCTTACTCACGAGGATGAGGTGCAATTATCATCGATAAATGAAAATTGGGCTGGTATTACCTTCGGATTTTATCTAATTGAAATCCTCCTTAAATGGCAACAAATTAACAGGTTTTCGTCTGAAAAACCTATATGTTGTAAAAATAACTATCATTGAAGCACTACGTAACCTATTTAATCTATGATTATGTCAACAATACCATAAATGCCATCATATAATATCGTGTTAAGAAGCCACACCTTGACAATCTGGACTCAAAAGCGGTACACACCTAAAGTTCTTATCTTACAAGTTTTTATTTTACAAGATAAAAGTTAAAGATAAGAATTGTATCTGTGAAATAAATCAAATCTATAATTCATTAATATAATGCAGTTCGAAAATGATACAGCCATTTTTACCAAATTATTAAGATCCGTTGAAAGCGTCGTAAACGTGAAATGCCCCATTTTAAGGTAACCTACGTTTTTATCCACGAAAATTCTAATAAATGTAAATTCTAATATTTCTCATTTATTGATTAATTTAATGAAGTACTAAAAACTGATGATTACTATACTGCTTTCCTCTTGAATCATAAGAAAATTTGATCACGAAATCGAGAGAAAAAGGTGGCTTACAAAAATATTGGACCGTTTGACCTATATAACCACGTTATTTTGATTAGTTGGAGGTGGAGGTCCAAACGGCCCAATAAAAATATCACAGACAAGGGATGCGGTGTATTTCAACTTTAAACGAAGTTTTTTTGACATGTTTTCCTATAACTTGAACAATTTAATTTTTTCTACGGATTATAATTATCCTTATCATAAATCTGAGATCCTTATCCAATAGTAATGATGGAAAATATTTTGGATTGAAGCCGCCGGTAACGTCTAGGATAAAAGCTAAACACGTTTTATAATAGCTAAAATAATGAACTATTCTATCACATGTTTTAAAAAAAGGAACTCTTCAAAATAAGTTGTTGTTTGCAAACGCTAGTTATTTAGTGGAAAATAAAATGCATGGCGACTTTAATATACGTCATTTGTTTCGAGTAGCAACCTTTATAAAACTGCATATAAATGTCTATTTAGTATTTTAATAACAAATAAATAAAACACATGACCAAGCAACTGTAATAAATCATAATTCTGAGATAAAATAAAACCTGAGTCTGGTATAAAACTAATCGGACTAACATAGACTTTTAAATAAGAAAGAAAGGAAGATGCCTTGGCTATACAAAGACACAAGATTCCCTCCAGTAAAAAATCCTTTCAAGATTAGAGAGGTAGCTGCAAAAGAAGAATCCGATGATTCCGAGGTATAATGCGATAAATCTGCTACATTAAGATTAATAAAAAAATATATAAACAAAAACAGAACATTAGCAAGATAGAACACTAAGTCACGGTTTCTATTTTTCTTTCCTGCAATTTTCTTTAGCCTGCAGATGCATTTTATTTCTTTTGTAGAGACTTGTCATTTATTTTCTGTAAACAGTTATTTTTTATCACTAAAAAAGTAAAATTTACTTTATTTTTACTTTCACTTACCTATATATGAAATATATAGTAAGAGAAAGAGGATTGCGATCGTGAAAATTTTCGAATCTCAGTTTTCAACAGAAATACACGTTTTGAGGTCCCCTGAGTCCAAATAATCAAGTACCACAAAATGGTTTGTATGTGTGTGTGTGTGTGTGTGTGTGTGTGTGTGTATGTGTGTATTTCTGTGTGTGTGTGTGTGTGTGTGTGTGTGTGTGTGTGTGTGTGTGTGTATTTCTGTGTGTGTGTGTGTGTGTGTGTGTGTGTGTGTGTGTGTGTGTGTGTGTGTGTGTGTGTTAACAGCCTAGCTCAAAAACGAAACGTCATACGCAATTGAAATTGCATATTTAAGACATTTATATACTAGGGATGTTACAACAACATTTTCATCAAAATCGCCTATCTGGAAGCCACACTTTTAATGGACTTAACAAATTTTTGCGATTTTCTCGAAAACAGCTCAAACGATTTTAATTAAATTCATCAAATCAGAGTAAATTTAATCAGTTTTAAATAAAATGTAGTTTTTATTCTGATTAATGTTCTCTAACAGGGCTTAAATGCCTAATTTTTAATACTAGCTATCTCCTAAAGTACCTTTATTAATCTAAAATAATTAACCAATTCACATTGATTTTTGATATAAAAATAGTTAAATAAGAAATAATTTGATAATTAACTAAAGGAGAAATAAGAGATCGTAACGAATAATAGTTGTAATAGAGGAATCAAAGGAATACAAGCTTGCCCGAAAGATTACAACAGGCAATTCGTAACATGAGCTTAATATAATACTGATTCCGAAAATATTGTGTTCATATACAATTGCGGTTTTCATAAATGCCATCGTTAGTATTATTTAATATTAATTGTATAGAATACAGCGATATAAAAATTAAAATTTGTATATATAAGGTTAATTAAACAAATAAAAATAACCACAATGAATTGTAAATAAATAAAGCGTCAATAATTTTTACTTTCACTGCTCCTTTGTCTGAATATACATATTTCTGCTAAGAAGAGGGTGGTAAGTGAAAGTCGTGTGATGTGCGCACCAGATTTTTTTAGGACGAATATGTTCAGGATTCGAAAGGAGTATCTGAGAAAGCTAAAAATAAATAATTTAATAAATAATAATAATCTTCGGATTGTTAGCTTTTGCATAATAAAAACAGTAATACATAACTAGGACATCAGAAAGAAAATTGAGGTATAAATAATAAGTAAACTTGTAAAGTAGATCGTTGACACATAGCGGAGAATAAAAAAAAAGAAGGAAATAGGGAGAAATAAATAGCCACTCAATGGATTGAAAGTTGGAGTCAGAGATAAATTGTGTTTTCTTTAGCATCGGTAAAGGTCTTAGAACGTAGAAGGGGGCACTTCCATAGAGATCACTAATATGGCTGGCGGCTCAAATAGAATTATTTACCTCCTCTCCTTCCTCCCCCCCCTCCCCCCTCCCGGCCCAGTACCATTACTCTACAGTCTGCGTCGTTATGGATACGGATTTATTACTTAATTTCGAATTATAATGGAAACAACAAAATGTAAATATTTTTTCTTATGTGACTTGACTTTCGGCTTGCACGATGATTCTTCCAGCAGCTTTGTGAAGTTATTGGCGACAGAAGTGCTCGTTTTGTTCTCTTTAAGCGTTTAGGTTAGAGAAAGATATCCAGGGAACACGTGGTTTACAATGACCAGACACAACCTCTATATATTTTTTATTTACCCTTCACGGTTATTCGGAATTGCATTCCAAGGCACTATTGATGTTCTGATTGATCGCGTGAGGACTATTGATGTACTGATGGACGTGACGAAAAGTGGAGGGGAGACTGAGGTAAAAGCGGTGGGGAGACTAACTTTAGTATAGATAGGTTAATTTACCTCTTTAATTCCATCCAGCTTCCTTTTTCAGACACAGTCCGGTATCTTGACTTTATCTTAGACCGAAGACTAACGTGGAACCCACATACTGGACTTAAAAGACAATAACTTAACCGACGATACGGCCAATTATACAGACTACTGACCAGAAAATCTCAACTTTCAATTGACAACCAATTACTGATCTACAAGACAATCCTGAAACCTATTTGGACCTACGGACTTGAACTTTGGGGACAGCAAAATTTTCTAACATCAAACGCATCCAATCCTTTCAGTCCAAAGTCCTCCGAACAATAGTCGATGCTCCGTTCTATGTAACCAACAAAACCCTACATCATGACCTTAATATCCCATTTGTCCTTGACCTTATCCCTGAAAATTTTTCCAAATTCCATCAGAACCTTATAAATCATCCAAATCCGCTAGCACAATCCCTATCTAGTTCCACTCATCCCTACAATCCTCCTCGAAGGTTGAAGCGGCAGTGGCCCAGAGATCTTTTGTAGTATATATCTTGGAGTTCTGGCAATGGCCAGATTCTCCACTCAAGACATGAGTGTATGTGGCTAAAGCGCTCTCGCTCAATCTCCACTGGCTCTCGCACAAGTGACGCGGTTGAGAGAGTAGCGCAGGGATCTCTTAGAATCCTGGTTTACCCTCTATAGTTGGAGGGATAATCCTAACTTGGGGTTTCCTGCCTGATTGTGTATGTTTTATATAGGTATGACTGTGTTTTCACGTTTTTAATTTACTTATCTTTAGGTTATTTTATTTTTTATTGTACACAGTTTTTGATTATTATTTATTTACTCTTTCACTTTCGTTAATTTTATATTTTCTGTATATATGGTGAATGTGTTCATTTATCACTATAATTATTTTCCATGTGACAGATTATTATATTTTTAAACAAATAAATAAAAAATAATAAAAAAATAGGGTGAACGCACCAGTTATGGACTGGGGGTCCAGTGATGGACTGGTTGGCTTTAAATGTAAATAATAAGCTCCATTGTTGATTAAAAGGTTTCATATTTTTCTAGATTAAAGAATAATGACCTTTATTGACAACAGTATGAATAAAGTTTCCAAAAGAAAAATTTAAAATGTCTATCATTGTTGTTTCTATAGTGCTCTTAAGATCAGTGTTGACTATTTATCTTATCTTATATTTATCGATATCTTTATAGTTGAACAAAGAATTTAGAATTCTTCTGAGGTATGTCTATTAATTGTACCGACGCGCTGCCATTACAATTGAAATTGAATTTCGGGGTGTCTATCACTAGTGAAAAAAGGTGTTTTTTTGAATGGAGATTATATCTGCATAACTAAATAATTTTTCAAATTTAAAATTTAAATAGAAAAAGGAGACCCTGAAGATTCTAAACGTCAAACGGAGAAGTTTATAACTATAATAACTACGGCGGCATAAGACAAAAAAGACAAAAATTCCCTTAGCTATGTCCATCACTGGTCCGCTTACCCTAATTGATTACTAGTGGAAAAAATATTTTAATTAATAATTAAAATATCTTGATTATGCAAGTCTCGGAAACTTCAATTTTCAAAGAATTTTTTGACTGAATCAAGAAAAATAATTGAATATTTTCGCTATAATTAATATCAAACTTTAAAAACTGAGAGCGTTCGTTATTTTTTCTGAGCTGATCATATTGACTGAAGATTTAAATCTTAAAGCTAGTTTACGTAACTATTCAGCTACTAAAATATCCACTAATGAGTTAACTAAAATATGTTGCATACTGTATTTATTTATTTAAATCGATTCATAATTAAATTAAACCTTGGACCAATACCCAACTTTCAAGTCATCGCTTTACCCGAGAGGACAACATATTGGTAATTTGAATTCGTTGTAAGACGAGACAAGGGTATGAAAAACAATCCACTAAAAGCTCTCTCTCACCTTGATCCGCCTTCCTTCCTACTTATGGAGGTAGATCGACGGAATTTCGTCTTGGTGTTGGAAACCGTAGAGAGAGAAAGAGAGTATTGACGTAATCCTATACAACCGCACCCAGGAAACCGTACACTTCTTTTCTGTGCCGGTATTCGACAAACGCTTAACATTCTGGCCCTAACGTTGTCATCGGACGAAGGTTTTTTTTCAGTTACCATCAAGATTCAGGATTGATTCAACTCTCATACAATAAACAACCTGTATAAAAACAGTAAAAAATGACATACTGTGATGGAAATTTTTAAAAACCAAATAAGGTCAGTATAGCTTTCTCACCGTTTTCATTGTATATTACAAGGTATACAATTTTTCGTATGAGAATAAAATCGATGGGAGAAGCAGATTCGGAAGTACAGTTACCCTCCAACATTCAACAAAAGGGTATCGTATTTGAAGATTCCATATTTGATTATGCTTAATAAAAAAATTCATACTGAACATGAATTTCAATACTGTCAGTGCAAAAGGTCTTATGTAAAAATTTACAAGAGTGCATAAAAACTCATTATTTCTTTATGGTTTATTAATATAATTTCATATTTTATTGTATTCTGCTTTTTTTCATACAATGTCGCCAAAAAAGTGTATACTTTTTGAGTTATTCGGAATTTAATTTTACCATCCATCGTAACTTTTATTCCAGCTTCTTTTCGTTGAAGTATATTCATCATCATCATCTCATCATCATCATCATATTCCTGATCCCAATACCACAGCGCAGTGTGGGCTATATCTTGTAGAGCTTGGATCAGGTTTCCCTTTCTTGAGCCAACTCTCATATCTTACTCCAATCCATACCTCGCTTCCTGAACGCCTCTTGTACACTGTTTTCCCAGGATATGCGTGGTCTTCTTCAATGTCTTCTCCCCTCTACACTGGTCTCGTATGTTTTCCTGGCTCTTCTCTCTTGATCCATTCTAAGAAGATGTCCGAACCATCTTAGCTTGTGCTCCTCTAGGATGGTTTCAGCCGGTTTGACCTCGAGGCTAGTCCGTACAGTGGCGTTCCGGATCCTAGCTCTTCTGACCTTTCCCTCGATCTTCCGAAGGTATCGCATCTCCATGGCTTGGATTCGACTTATGTGTTTCGAGCTGAGGGTCCACGATTCAGAGGAGTACGAAAGGATAGGGAGAAATGTCGAGTTGTAGACTGCTACTTTAGTTCGCTTCGTTATTTCATTGTGCATAAAAACTCATTATTTCTTTATGGTTTATTAATGTAATTTCATATTTTATTGTATTCTGCTTTTTTTCATACAATATCGCCAAAAAAGTGTATACTTTTTGAGTTATTCGGAATTTAATTTTACCATCCATCGTAACTTTTATTCCAGCTTCTTTTCGTTGAAGTATATGATATAGATAAACTTAATGGGCGTCGAGAAAATGACTTTATGGAAGTTTCATTGAAATCGGTATATTCGTTTAGGCACTACAGTCTACAGCAACCCGCGTAGTATAGTAGCGCATATATAAGAGAAAGTAGTGGACAGAATTCAATAAAATTGACACTACTTTATTTTTCACCAATCTACCTTTTATCCAACTTTGAGCCAAATCGAACAAGCCCTTTCTGAAATATTAGCATATCTAAAAAATATACGGAAGTGCTAGATGGAATTTGATAAAATTGATATTGGACCATCAAGGCACCAATTCGCATAATCCCTGAACATTTCATGAAAATCGGATGAACGGTACTAGGTGATATGCCTGTCACATCGATTTGACTACAGACAGACAGATAGGCCGAACCAAATTTGATCCTTGATGTCTGAAACGTAAAACGCGAGTGGAAATTTTGGATTATGAGCACAATTTTTTTTCCATCGCACTCTCGCACGAACGCAATGCTTTCCTGCCGTCGGGTAAAAAAAAAAAAAAAAAAAAAAAAAAAAAAAAAAAAAAAAAAAAAAAAAAAATTAAAATATTAGATCAGTAACTTGAGAAAGAATGGAAAATTCATTGCGAAAAAATGGTGGAAATTGTTTTGAAGCGGAAACTTCTTTAGGTGTGTTTTGCACTTTTTTTTTTTTGTGGTGAATGAATTAGATTGTGCGGACAGATGTGTAACTTTCCGGTAAAGTCGGTTGGACTAATTGAAGTGTTTTTTAATATGGTTTAAAATAAACCAAAAACTAAAAATAGGACCTGCAAATTGCAAGCTGGGGCATCGTTCATCATTTTATCCTCTTTATAATGAGCTATTATTCAAAATTGTATCTGAAAGCGACGCCGTGTTAGGAAGGTGAAAATGAAAAAATAGTGTCGAAAACCAAATGATAACGGGTTTTATGTAAGATATGGATTAATATATATCAAAAACTTTAGCATTTCAACCTATTTATAATGAGTTATTATTTATAATTTATATTTCATGTTATTAATCATTTATATCAATTTATATTTCATGTTCGCTGTTGATATTTTCACTTCTATTCTGTTTTCTAAAGCACACATCCTAGTTGTTTTATTTTAAACTTGTTAATTTAGGTTTAACATGAAAAAAACAAAATTTCTAACGCGAAGCGCCAAGGAAAAACTTTTAGAGCCAAAAAACAAATCGAATTCTTTTTGTTTTTTTCGCCTGCAACTTCTTAACTGTGTTTCAAAGCAAAAATCTATTGTATAAGAAATCAAAAAAGTTAAATTTCTCGTCGAACGAATACCTAAACTTAATAATTTGGTTGAGTGATATGGCCAATAACTACAGTCTGCTATATACAGTATAGAACTCTGTTCGATCTCTCAGCAGCTAAGGATTTTGAGAAACAAGGTGTCAAAAGAAACCGAATTTCATGCAGAAAAAACTAATCCCGATTTGAGAGATACAATTGACCATTATTAATACTATTGGTACTCAATGGACGCGGGATTTGATGCTCTACAGCTATTATTCAATGAGTTTTTTCTCTTAGAAAACTCATTTTCAAGCTGCAGGGCCATTTATACTAATTTGTCTCAACGTTTGACAAATTTGGTAAAAATCAACGTTCGTTCACAGTGGTCATCGACCATACCACTTAGCCAAATTATTAAGTTCAGTTAGAAATCCAACGTATAATTTAACGTTCATTGATTCCTTAAAGAATATATTTTCTGCTTCGATTCCTCATTTATTAGGAGTTACAGAAGAAAAAAAAACACGATATTAACGCAAGTAGAGGACTTCATTACTTTTAAACGGACAAAAGTAATTATTTCTGTTAGATTTATTGTTATTTTACATGTACAGATAAATATGATTGTTTTTTCCACGTTATAAGTCATAACTTAAATATTAGTAGTTAAATTAAGCATGATTTTTTTTTTATTTATTCATTTTTTTAAATATGTGTTGGACCATATTTTATTTCATCTGTTTTACTTAGCTTTCTTTTTCTTATTTTCGATATAGTTTCTATTATTTTTGTAACTGTACATATATTGTATGAATGAGCTTCTTACATCTCAAATACTCAATGCCATGGATTCAGGCAAAATGTATTTTTTCTCAATAAAAAAAAAACTGTTAAATAGCAGTGGTTACTTTGTAAGTAGATAATTTTGTATTGTCAAAACGATTGGTTCTTTGCTAAGAAGTGTGTTGGGCAAAACTATTTTTGCTTCTAGATGCCCAGAAAACTCTTGAGGAAGACCAAATGTTGATTCTCACACAAATTGTTATTTTTCTTCAAGAAAATATATTCAGCTCAACGTTTTACTGGTTTCGGTATAGGATTTATTAAACTTTTTTACTTCCTTACCTATACTAGGTAAGGAAAGTAATGCGATCGGGTAAAAGATTTGCGGTTTTCGACGGTTGTATACGTTTCAAAGCCCCCTGAGTATGAAAAACAAATTTTTCGTCTGTCTGTCTGTGCCAATATTTTCTCGGGAACTAGTGAACCAATTTTGTTGCTCCTTTTTTTATTTTGTAGGGTTTTGACTACTGATGCCTGTGGGTACTCAAGTTGGGTGCTCCATGCGCATATGTTTTTCCGTAGACTGTAGCGCGAAAACGGATCTAACGATTTTGATGAAACTTTCCTATAATGTTCTAATAATTGTCCTTTTAATTTTCGTCAATGGACTAAAGTCCCTCCAAAAAATCAGGAAAACAAGTTATAAAGAAAAGAAAATGTTTTGGAGCTTAACTTACTAAATATATATTCTATGGTTAAATTTATAATAATACATTTGAAAGTTAATTAAATTGCCAACAAATCATCGGAATCGAACTAGTATTAGCGATGATACAGCGTATTCTATTTTCTACAAAAGTTTTAATTTATTACTGCTATGGGATTGTTGACGGTTCTATACTTATCGGTACATATGCTGGTGTCAGAAAGGGATGGATGAGAGAAAAATAGATAAATAAGTGAAAGCAAAAAAATCTGGTGCCCGCCTCACACAAGCTTCACTATTTCCTTTACTTTTAACAGAAATTATTATTTCTCAAAATTAGGCCATGGCAAAAACCTTTTAATCAGCATTAGAGGGTATTAAAATTTTTACACTGATCTACCTTAAGCCGGTTTACATTGCTTTAGTTTATCAAATAAATCGTACTCAAATATTTTCTTTGATCAATTATTAGGAAAATAAATCTAATTCAATTTTTTTTCGTTTCTTGATGGACATAAGTAAAGATATAAAAACTTTTCTAAAATAGGTAGGAAAGTCGTGTGAGTGGACTCACCCGATTTTTTATTTGAAGCGGTTACTGTTATGTATAAATAGAAACCTTTAGTTGGGCTGATTTTAATATGAAGACTGCTTTAATAATCATATATAAATACTACTGTGCATTGAGGTTGGGACAGACATGACCGCATAGCGTCCGAGCCGCATCACGGCCATATGAAATATTTTTTCGATGAAACGAACAAAAGCGTAGCCAGAACACGTGTTTTGTACCAACCTAACCTAAGTGTATGATTGGTTTCATCGAGAAGGAACTACATGCGGCCGCGGTGCAGCTCGAACGCGGTGCTGGTATATAAGGTTGTACCTTTATTAGCTATAAGGAATTAAAATGTTCCTAAATTTTATTTATTTTGTTATGAAATACAATCAAATTGTTTTTAGACCATTTTGGTCTATTTTTGACCCTATTATTGTCAATTCCAAGCACTGTGACAACCGCCTCGGAGGTGGGTTTATTTTATTTATTTTTTCTAATTTGTTCCTACGAATTAACAGATTTACGGATAACCAAAGAGAGTAATTAAGGGGAAAAATCAGTATTTATATGTAGTAAAATGTACAATTTACTATAAAAAAAAATTTCTTCCACCTACTTGGTATACTAACAAAATTGTGAAAAACTAAATGAAAATTGTCAAAACCGACCCTAGGTCTCCTCTATAATTTCAAAACATCAAACTCCATCAAACCTCCCAATTTACTTGTTCACATGGAAAGCAATAATGAAATGAAAACTTAAGTCATTTCATATTGTTGCAGGGTGTGCCATTGGATCCTAAGCTGTATAGGCTTGTGTTAAGTCCCATGGAGACGATGCTTATGGCCGCAGCCCTTTCTGAAAGTATTCAGTATATTAACATATTTCTAGCTAAACTACCTCGGATGGAGGTGAATTTCGTCTTTGAAGATTTGAAAATGAGGTAGATAATAACAGACAGATTATTAAAAAAGTTATGGATTTTTTTTAATTTTAGTTAAAGTATAATTTTTCTTATTCCAGATCTAAGCAATCCGTGAAGCCAACAGTGAAAATGATAGATGAGGATAGAGCGATGGAAGAAAGATTATCATCTCACCTGTAACTTTTTTGTTTTATTCTGTTTTGTATTTAATGAAAACATCAACCAAATCAATGGTTATAACAACATAACAGAACACAACATCTAACAAAAGTACGAGAGCAGGAATTCAGGAATGGATTTACTTAATTTAACTAATAGACCAGGAGTTCCTACATTACGTTACGCGTCACGCTGGGGTAACGCAAGCGTATGCTAGGGATGCCGCATCAACGATACTTATGTAATTTTAATTTTTAATAAATAATGTTAATGGTAATGTTAATGTTAATGTACATTAAAAAAATGGACAACGTTGAACTGGGGCTCGAATTAAATACGGATAAGACAAAATGTATGGTTAGCTACAAAAAAAGGCGATAATTTCAGACATATTAATACAGAAGGGAATGTGTTTGAACACACAAAGAATAAAAGATATCTACGATAACTAGAAAAAACGAATTGAAGAGGAGAATAAGGTTAGGTTGGAGGCAGATAAGATAATCCTTGTTATTTTTCTTTGTCAAAACTATTTAGTTCGCGCCTCCATCCCGAAAATTAAAAATTATAATTTACAAAGCCATTATACTTCCTGTTGTTTTTTATGGATGCGAAACGTGGCCGCTTACACAATGGGATGAACAACGTCTTAAGGTTTTTGAAAATAAAATATTTTGCGGAATATTCAGACTGAAGCATCATTCAACCTGAGAATTCAGGCGGTTAAACAATGCTGAATTGCGCAAACTGTACTCGATTAATATAATTGAGATGAATAAGCGTTGAGGCGAATAATATAGGAATGTAAAATCGCTGGGCTTAGTAACTAAAACATTTAAAAAAAAAATTAATATGCCGACTGACGGGCGTCCGAGAAGTAGACTAAAGCGAAGGTGGGGAGACTGCGTTCAAACACGTTAATACAAGCTTGAATTTAGACCACGCCCAGTGGGTGGAAGAATGTAGATATATATTGGTGGCATCGGCATCGAACATTTGTGTTCGCCAAGCCATATTATTATTATTATTTAAAATATGGGTAAAGATTATACATAACATTTTAAGGACATGTGTTGTACGAAATATGTTAGTGCAATAAGGGTCTTGCGAAAACATTTTAGCTCAACAATATTGCCGCGGTAAAAAAAAGTTTCTGAACCAATGTCATAGACATCATATTATATTTCATTTGAATCTTTTTTTCACTTTAAATCTGTTTTCCATTGGTAATAATTCCTCTGCTGTTGTGAATTTAATGGATAGAATAATAACGAATAAGTAACAAAAAAAATTCATTGGCATGTATCTTACAATACACATTTATGTTGAGAACTATGGAGCCCAAAGGACGTTTCTTCCTTTAAAAACGATTTATAAAACAGAAAATTTATTACATTAAAATATAAATATAATGTATTGTAGAATGATAATGAAGACAGTGATGATTATGACGAAAGACGAGTTGATGTTAGATGAAGAACCAGCGGCGCTGTACTTCTACAACGATCTTACTTATTGGGCCTTACAATCGGAGGATGATATGCTAAGTTCGTAAGTACACGATATTTAAAAAAATTATTTTATTAAATGTATGTACTTACCTAGTTAAAGTACTGTTATAATGATTCAAACGACATTAATTTTATTACCGGTAGAAACGCACAAATATGCGTAATAAGGAATAGCTAATTGTTTTTCTTTTGATGAACTAGTATTTAAAAAAAAAAATGCTTTAATATATTTTTAAAAAAACGATACATATATCGTCATCGTAGTCCTAAAAAAAATATGAGTTGATAGTTAAATCAACTATTTAATTACAACAAAAACGAGTGTTTGAATATGATTCTTGTCTTAAAATTCTAATGAATAGAACAATTTTCTAGCAATGAGAATTAATGTCACAATATATTTTTTATTATTATTTAATAGGCACAAATTCGTAAGCAAGAAAATAATATCTGCAAGAACACGACTCCATACAGCAAAAGAGATGGCAAAACAGCGCATTGCAGCAATGGAAGCTGGAATGGCAGTGGTGGAGGTGAGTCCAGATAATAATTAATAAGCAATTTTAATGAAGTTATTAATAATTTTAATATATTAATTTAATATTATTAACAGTGTATATATATATATATATATATATATATATATATATATATATATATATATATATATATATATATAAAGTACAGATCCCTTCTCCTACTCTCAGAATTTTGTTGAATGGTATTGTTGGATATACATCCATCATTTTGGTATATATCATTTGGTATTATATACCATATATTTATTGTTTGCCTAGCAATAATAACAAAGGAGCTCCCCGGTCTCATCCTGCCCTACCCCTCTCGAGGTACAAGCCTCTGAGTCTTCGACATACAAGTCAACAGTTAACTTGTCAACCCCAAAAAAGAAAAGTGGAAATAAAATGACAGCAGTTGACATTTTACAAAGCCATGAAAATACATACTGAAGGAAAGAGAAGCTTATATTAACAACAAGGTTTTATTTAAAAACTGATTAGACGTAATACAACGAGAAAAATATGTATAACTAAAATATAATAATACAACACGTGTTAAATTAAATGAAAAAATAGAAAAAAAAATACTAATACGTGTATATAACATCCACTGCCAAAAAACTCAGTGGATTCACGGCTATTCCACAAATAAAGTCAGGTCAGTATAGCTTCCTCACTGTCTTCATGCGCTAGAAAAATATATATATTAAAAGGTCTAAACATTTTCTAATGAGAATAAAATCTGGAAATTCAGTAATCACTCAACATGTACGCTTGATATCCAAGAGTTTTGTATGCGAAAAAGTTCCGCATCTGCAGATTACGTATTTGATAATTCGTAATTAAAAAATCCAGAACATATTGAATATTTATCTCGCTACTGATAGGGAAAAAGACATATATAAAAATTGAATGTTTTACAGGAGATCATAAAAACTAATCTTTATTGTTTGCTGGTTTGTTTCGATGTCTAGGCGCAAAACATCCAGGTCATAAGCGCTCGATCAACTAAATAACATCACTTAATACTATTTGGATGGTTAGTAAAAAAAAAAAATAAATAAAAAAAAAAAAGTAAAATAGATAAAGAAATGGATTGATAGAATAAGATAAATAAATAAGGATAATAATAGACATTTATAGGTAATAAGATGTATAAAAAATGTATAAATAAATAAACTTTAAAAAATAGCAGTAGAATCAATAAATGAATTGAGATTAATAAACAAATGAATTTAAAATGGAATGAAATCAAATGAAAAAATAAAATAAAATAATAATAATAAGAGAAAATAAAATAAAAATAAATAGATAAAAAAAAATAATAAATAAAAAAAATAATAGTAAATCTGCAAAGGATCATTAATTATAAGCCTGTCAAATGTGTTTTTTAAATCTTCACTAATCTTTAAGATTTATTAGTATAATTTTATATTTTATTCCCCTACATAATGCCAAAAATATAATAAAACTGAAAACTTTTACATACGACCTTTGAACTAATAGTAGTGATATATGCTAACTGTAGATATGTTTTCACTCGTAAAATGGATGGAACAAAAAATCCATAAGAAAAATTCAACTTTTTGTTTGTTAACGAGACCAATACTTTTCTTCAGTCAGAAAAAAAACAACTAATTAAGCTAGAATATAAAAATATGAGTGAAGTTGACACAATTTTGATATTTAAGGAGAAAACAGAGACCACGACGAGCTGATTGAACTTCAATGGAAATAAACACAATCACAAATAAGACTTTTTATTAATTTTTTTTTACTAATTCAGAGTGAACATTACTTTAAATTTACTGCAAATAACACGAAATCTATGTAACGGCAAGTGGCACGCCAGTAACGTCTGAAATCGACCAAAAAATACAGTATAAATTAACTTTTTGAATAAAACCTAATATTTTATAACCCTATAACAATATTGTAATAACCTAACTCCCACTCCATATGATCAGTATCTGCAACATTTCACAGCAATTATATTGTTAACAAGTATTTATATTAATTTTAATCATTAAATAGAATTCATTCAAATTGTTACCAAGTAATTTCTATACTATTCTCTAAATTTCCTACAAGTTTGGGTCAAATCGAATGAGCCGTTTTCAAACTACAGGCATATCAAATAACACATTTCCAAATAACACAAATCTGAAAGTGGAAGTTTTTTTTTTTTAGTATTAGATAGAATTTAATAAAATTCGTGCCTATTTCATTTTACGTTTAACAACCCCTAAATTCCCTCCAAGTTTGAGCCAAATCGAACTTGCTGTTTTACATATATAGACGTATCAAGAAAAACACGTTTGCACATATATAAGAGAAAGAAATGGACAGAATTCAATGAAATTGACCCTACATTTTTTTTCACAAATACCTACCTTTTATCCAACTTAGAGCCAAATAGAACTAGCAGTTTCTGAAATATTGACATATCTACAAAAATGCGTTTCCGCGTGCGTAAGCGGAAGTGTTGGTTAGAATTTTATAAAATTGATATGGGACCATCTAGACACCAACCGCACAATACCTGAAAATTTCATAAAAATCGGATAAACGGTAGTAGGTGATATGCTCGTTACATCGATTTGATTACAGTGAGCGGGGTGGCCGAATGGGCTAACGCGTGTGCGTTAGCAGCACCGCACACAGCAACAGCACCGCCGTTGCCGGGTAACCTGATATATCAATCAAATGATATGAAAATAGTCACGAGTTCGCGTCCCGGTGCCGAGGGAGTCTTCTGAATCCCCGCGCACACTCTCTGGCTCGGGAAAACCCCGTATAGGCTAAACGGCGAGGAAGAGGACAAAAAAAAAAAAAAAAACCCTTGTCTGAAACGTAAAACGCGAGTTGAAATTTTCCATTCTGACCACAAATTTTTTTTTAACCTCTAGCATGAATACATTGCTTCCCTATCTTTGGTAGTGAGGAAGCAAAATGTTATTAAAATAAGCATAAAGTTAGAAAAGAGACATTAGATGATTATTTTATAAATGGAAAAATCCAAACAACAAAGCCAACAAGGTTATCCAACATACAATTAACTTGCCTATTACATATATTTTACTTATACCTATCCCCCTCCCATGTATTACATCTAATCAGCTGTTCAATATAATCTTCCTTAGCTGTTGTTAATTGAAGTTTTTCTCTCCTTCAGTATGTATTTGGATGGCTTCGTGATATGTTTACTGCTATATTTTTTTCCCTTTCTTTTTTGTGTTTTCTTTCAGCATATATGTGATCTTGGTTTCTTGATTTCTATATCTAATCTTGGTTTCTCTACCCTGGTCACGCCTGAATCGGTGAAACGTTGGTAAGTTAAAAATTCATTTGTATGTTGGACACTTATGGCTTTGCTGTTTGGATTTTCCATTTATAATATAATCACCTTATGTCTCTTTTCGAGCTTTTTGTCAGCTTTATTATCAATATTTCAAACTATTACATTCATTAAACTAAAACATAATATGAAACAATCGAATTTTCGAAAGATAACAAATAGATTTGCTTCTCATTTCAAATAAAAAATACAATAATTTCATAAAAGAAAATCGAACTATGGCTATATTTGACGGATCCTTGTGGGTTATTTCATCATTGTTTTTTTGTATTTCAGGCAGGATTCGAAGAGGTTTGTTCAATCGTCACCATATTCAAAGAGTTTGCAGAGAAATTTCAGAAAGCACAAATTGAACAGAACGATCTGAAAATTCAAATGGCAGAAAGAAACCACAAGAGGGAACTCTACGACCAATTGAAAGCGATAGAAGATGAACACAGAGCGAACCAGCTTATCAAAAAGTTTATCAGCATCTCGACAGAGGTGATTGACAATTCGTTATTCGTTCGTTTTTTAAAACTTGAATTCAAGTAAGAACAGAACTAATATTTATTGATCAATCGAAGCCTCTTTGGCACGATATCCATAAAAGCTTAAGGGTTCTTCGGGACCTAACCTACCTTCCATACCAGTTGCTTGGTCTCAAACATTGACCCACACACTTTATTTCCCAGTTCTGTTAATTATTTTACTTCAGTTTAAATAATTATATATATATATATATATATATATATATATATATATATATATATAAAACATGTAGAAAATTATATATATATATATAGCAAGTACTATATGTTATATATATATATAACATGTCAATATATCTTAAAACACAATCAAGTCCCTCCATCTTTCCATAATCAGTTCCTCTTGCCAGATGATCTCTCCATTGTTATCTTTGATTCCTTTAAGTAGAAAATTATATATATATATATATATATATATATATATATATATATATATATATATATATATATTTATAGCAAGCACTATATGTTTTATATATATATATATATATATATATATATATATATAACATGTCAATATATCTTAAAACACAATCAAGTCCCTCCATCTTTCCATAATCAGTTCCTCTTGCCAGATGATCTCTCCATTGTTATCTTTGATTCCTTTAAGTAGAAAATTATATATATATATATATATATATATATATATATATATATATATATATATATATATATATATATATATATATATAGCAAGCACTATATGTTTTATATATATATATATATATATATATATATATATATATATAACATGTCAATATATCTTAAAACACAATCAAGCCTCAAGTCTGGCAGCGACGATCAACAGGAAACTCCAAAAGCAGTAATTAGTTTTAATGTGTTCTGTACAATTTAGATAACTATTTTTTTTTTTTTTAATGTTTTACTATGAAATGTTTTTATATGCAAACAGTTATGTTATTCTTCAAGTTTCAGATATATGCAAGTATTTTCTGTTATTCATTTAGCATTAGAATATAGACCAGTTTTCTTTTTGTTTAAAGTATTAGAGTCCCTCCTTACGAAGGAACTGGAGGGGGGAAGTTAGAATAATATAAGATATGTTTGTGGGTTTCAAGATATATTGATTGACATGTGATCGATTATCATTATATTCGTATTTTGATAAGCTTAACCTTCAATAAAGAGATAAAATCTCATTTTTAATATTGATTTAATCTTTCTTCTATTATGATTCAGAAATACAATAAATTATTTATGTATTTTAATTATGGAATATAAAGTATTTTGTTCATTTTCATTAATATATATATATATATATATATATATATATATATATATATATATATATATATATATATATATATATAATACTTTATATTCCATAATTGAAATACATAAATAATTTAATGTATTTCTGAATCATTATAGAAGAAAGATGTTGGTAGCAAGCAACAGGGTCAAACTACTAATTTAATAAACATATCTGCTTTATAGTAAAAATATACTTGTTTCATAAAATGTATAAAATAAAATACAGAAACTCGCTCAGGCTCTGATATAAGAAGAAGAGAAAATCGGCCGGCAAGAAAATAAAGATGAAATGAAATATATAATAATAAGCTAATAATTTCACCCTAATAACAGGAATTGCGAAGAACGAAATTTGTTCCAGATATTAGACGAATTTCAATGCTTCGATTTCAAAATAACCGCAATGAATGACCAACAGTTGGAAATAGACCAGCGCAAACAGAGCTTTCTTCACTCTTTAAAGGTAATGAAGCCCAAAGAAATAAAAAAACAAGTTCTGATATACTGCTGTGAGACATGGACACTAACAAGCAAACCTTGAAAAAACTATTGAAAGGTTTGTGAAAATGTTATGATGGGCGCGGTATGTAGCTCGGAGTAAATCATCAGAAAGCCCATAATCAACGATGGATGCCTCAATAAAAGGGAAATGACTAAGTGGAAACAGATGGATAGATAATAATTTTTTAGTGATCGTGCCCATTTATAAGAGAGAAGATAACAGAGAGTGTGGGAATCATCGTGGAATATCGCTTCTCAGTGTACCCAGTAAAGTTTATTCCAGAATACTGGAGAGAAGGATAAGAAGGTCGGTCGATAGTCAGCTCGGGGAAGAACAGTACGGCTACAAATGGCAGCGAAGTACACAGAATCTTATCTTCACAATGCGACAAATTACAGAAAAGACTTTCGAGAAGAATAAGGAGCTTTCTGTCTGTTTTGTGGACCTCCAAAAGGCTTTCGACAGAGTGAGGAAGGAAGATATAAATCAGGCATTGTCTGAAAGAGGAACCGATCAAGGAACAATTTCGACTATGATGAGTCTCTATAAGAAGACCAGAAATGTAGTTAGGACCATGAACCAAATTTCAAAAGAATTTGAGACGACATTAGATATTCGCCAAGGTTGTAGCTTAAGCCTGCTACTGTTCGTAATAGTTTTAGACATGGCACTTTGAAAGGCTAAAGCAAGGATGAGGCAGTTCCAGTTAGGACACGGAAAGCTGCAACCGACAAGATTCTCTGTGCTGGCTTTTGCTGACGACCTGGTCTTGCTAGCTGCCAACGATCGAGACCTCTAATACAACATAAACATCCTCCAGGAAGAAATAGCCACGATAAACATGAAGATTCACCCGGGGAAAACTAAATGTATGATAATAGGAAAGAAGCACCGGAGAATAATGAGGGTGATGAGAGCAAGTGGTGAGAGATTGGAGCAGGTAGATAATTTCCAGTATCGGGATGCTCATCTCAACTAAAGTGGATATGTTGATGAAGAGGTGAGTAAAAGAATCGGGGCAGCTGGCAGAATGTTCTATCTGCTCCAGAAGGGATTTCTGGGCAGAAAAGAGGTAACGAAGCGAACTAAAGTAGCAGTCTACAAATCGACATTTCTCACTATCCTTTCGTACTCCTCTGAATCGTGGACCCTCACCTCGAAACACAAAAGTCGAATCCAAGCCATGGAGATGCGATACCTTCGGAAGGTCGAGGAAAAGGTCAGAAGAGATAGGATCCGTAACGCCACAGTACGGACTAGCCTCGAGGTCAAACCGGCTGAAACCATCCTAGAGGAGCACAAGCTAAGATGGTGCGGACATCTTCTTAGAATGGATCAAGAGAGAACATCCAGGAAGACATACGAGACCCGTGTAGAGGGGAGAAGACCTAGTGGAAGACCACACATATTCTGGGAAGGCAGTGTACAAGAGGCGTTCAGGAAGCGAGGTATGGATTGGAGTAAGAGAAGAGAGTTTGCTCAAGAAAGGGAAACCTGGTCCAAGCTCTACAAGATATAGCCCACACTGCGCTACGGTATAGGGATCAGGAATATGATGATGACGATCAAAATTTATAAACACATTATAATAGATGCGGCATCAATAAATCCTACGTTATACTAATAAAAACAATAATATTTTGCGCTACTGCCCTTGAAGAGGCACTACTCTCCATCGGAGAAGACTAGTCCACATATTTTTCTTAGCATCTTTCTTTCCCAGGTGGATAGTCGTTTCTCCATCTCCATTGTTAGGACCCATGTTTCACTACCATATGTGACTGTTGGTCATTGTCTATTTAACTTGGCGTTACAAGAAATATCTTTGAACTTCAAAACTTTATGTACTGCAAAAAAACAACTATTTCCTGATGCTATTCTGGCCTCTCCTTGCGTAGCTCATTCTTTTCGGTGACCAGTGTTCCAAGATATTTAAAAGACCTACAAACAGGGAAGTTATGACCATTAATATTAATTGTATGTGGTGGAATCTGTGGGGATTTCTGAGAGCTCTTCATGTATTCCATGTATTCCATCATCTTCATATTAATCTAGAGAAATTATGATTAGTAGGATCAGCCACACAGCTTTCTTGCTTTGCTCCAAGACTTGGAATGATCAGCTCATCACTCGACGGCAGGATAATTTAAGATTGACTCTCGCTACAACTCCTCCAATGATCCGGCATTGTTCTGGCTACCATGTGGACATCATCAGCATAGGCCAATACCTGTGTGTATCTGTTATATATGGTGCCTCCAGGATTGGTTCTTATGCCTCGTACTACGTTATAATAGATATCAAAATATAGCAACCAGTTTAACCCCATATTTTATTTATAGTCAATAAATCCTTTCATCAGTCATAAATTCTACAGTCCATAGCAATTAAATAAGAATCGGCCAAGAATGGCAGAATTATTATGTCGTTATAGAAGAAGAAAGATCTTAATGAGAATCGTTTGCATGCAATATTGATATTGTATAAAATATCACTAGAACAAAGAAAATGTTCATCGGACAATGTGAGGAGCCATACATGATTTGAGACAATTTTAATAGGTATTTAATGGTTTAGTATTCTCATTGACCTAACACAATAAACTTTCTATGACAACAATAAAAGTATATATATTTATGAAATGAGAACAGGGGAAATAAACATCTTATCCAAAAATATTCAAATTGATGATTTTGTAAAAAATAAGTAGTAGATCTATTTTGTATCTCGACCTAGGGGCTATAACACTTATAGCCTTAATAAATAATAATAAACTTATATACAGTAATAGAAGGGATTAAATAAATATGAAATATCCCAAGATAGGCCGAGAAGTAGAAGCCTGGTTAAGGCAGTAAAATATCTACAAGATCTGCAATACCAATAGAAAAAAAAAATGGTAATACATAACCAGGAAATAAAACTCACTGAGTAGAATGCCATCAGTTGTTGGGTGTTTTATCCTTCCAACAGTGGATAAATGGTGCTTCCATCTTATATATTGTTTTTAATAGCTTCAAATAAAGTTATTGCCTTTCTGTTTACTTTGACGATAAAACACTCGTCTGTTTCTCGGCAAACTCCGTCAAACATCCATTGCTCAGGTAGAACTCTCCCTACATGATTTTCTCTTTTAGAAAAAAGACTTTAGCCTACTTCAACGACTTTGCAACACCCACTAATTTTTTTTACTTGACATGTATAACATGTTATGGGCACAAACCTGTATTAAAAATGTATTAAAAGTTATCAAAGTTGGCTTGGATAGTTTCAGCTGCTCTTTGCCTCACTATATTGTTGTTAAATTGTGGGACCACCCATAAATGAATTTTAAAGCCGTTAAAAACGAAATCCTCGATCCCTCTAACCACGTTCCTTTCCTTATAGAAATGTTTTTGTTACAAGTGGTAAGAAACCGTTTCAATTTCGTCTTCCTGTCTAACTTTATTTGATGACCTTATTCACACAATTTTATGTTTGGAAAATATTTGATAGTCTCTTCTTCTAAAGATAGTAATTCCCAGAATACATCCCAGATTTTTTTCTGAATTTTATTGATTAAAAAATAACACGATGATATAGAATAGAATAGAATAGAAAAATAATTTTATTCTGGGACGAAGTCCCTTCAGAATAACAAAAAAGTACAGAAATTAAAATTTTACATCTGGCCAGATAAAAACAAACATAACAAATTAAGATAATGATAGGTCATTAAAGAAAAGAAAAGAAAAAAAATATTGGTTATACATACTATATACAAAATAAAATATAAAAATCTATATAAAAAACTCTTGAAACCATACTAAGATACTTAAAACTATGTACGATGTTAAAATATAAATAAACCCTTTTAGAAAAAATAAAAAATACAGAAAAAATAAATGTATATTCTTCTTAACAGTAAAATCTGTTTCTGTTGAAACAGAAAAAAAAAAAAAAAGAGAAAAAGAAAGTCGAATCTATAATAAGTATTCAGGTCATGAGCTATATGTGAATATGGTCTTATATATAATGTGTAATTTTACATAAAAGATTAGCTGGTGCCTGACTGTTTTTGGGACAGGAATTGGAATAGGAGGGTTTTGAATGTAGATAAGGATGAAGAATGTCGAATTTTGATTGGAAGGGAATTCCAGAAACTAACAGAACGTGCAATAAAGGAGTTTTGGAACGAGGTAGATCTGTGAGAAGGAATGTAAAGGTCGGAAGGTCGAGATCTTGTGGAGAGGGAGTGGACTGAGGACTTGAATTGGAGAAGGTTGTAGGCGTAGGAAGGACGATGATTGTTGATGATATGATAGAGGAATGTACCTAGGAAATATTGTCTTCGAATGGAGGGGAAGAGCCACTCTAACTCAGTGTAATGGTGAGAGACATGGTAGTATCTCGGGACACCAATTACAAATCTCACGCAACTGTTCATTATTCTTTTCAGTCTGTCGCGGAGCTCCACCGAGAGTCCATCATACACCACACAGCAGTAGTCAAAGTGGGGGAAGATGAGAGAGGAAACGAGGAGTCTGCGCGTATGTTGAGGTAGGAGACGGCGGAAGCAATGGAATAGTTTGAGGGTAGAGACTGTCCGTCGGGAGATGTGAGAAATATGGTGACTCCAGGAGAGGGTTTGATCAATAAATAGTCCTAAATTTTTTACAGAGGAGTAGAAGGAGATTGGCTGGTCACCAAGGTTTAGTATGGGAAAGTCCGTATAGGATCTAAGGAGGGGCTTGGAACCAATGACAATGGCCTGAGTTTTTGAAGCATTTAACCTTAATCCGTTTAATTTTGCCCAGGCACATAGTATATATAGTACCTATATAGCACATGGATATAGTACCTAATTAAATTCAAATATTACTGGAGATAAAACATTATGAATGCAAGTAGTAAATATTCATACCTTAATTAATAGAAACATCAATTCAGACCAAGTTTGAAGGTATTTATTAATATCTAATAATAAAGCTACGTATTTTTTTTTAATAATAGACTTCAATTAGTAAGTAAGGAAAAAAATAATTTACATTTTTCATAATACAGAAATTAGAACAAACTATATCAAATTGGTCAAGAAAATACGATCAAGATATGGAAGAGATAGATTTGAAAATCGCTAGGGCAAACCAAGACATCCCTGACCTAGTGTACGCCTTGGGGAAACTACTTACGACGGTAAGAGAAATTTTTACTTTTATAAGAATATCTTTTAGCTATAGATTTTCAATCATAAAAATAAGCAGGTACGATCAATTTAAATAACATTGAACAAATTAGGTCACCAATCAAATGGCATAATAAATATCTGCAATGTAAATAAGAAGCATAAATTGTTTGTAATATAGGTATTTGTTTCAAAGAATGTTATATTATAGTCTGCGGAATAGACCCCATTTTATCAAATTATTAACATTCGTCTAGAATTTCGTGAATTGTATCATAAATTACAACTATCACATCTGCGAAAATTCTGAGAAATAGAACGTTTTCTCATTAAATTAATTGATTTATTGAGAAACTAAAAACTCAATAGTACTTTTCTTTTTTTTCATTCCACTTGGATTGTAATATAATTTTATTATAATATAATTTGTTATTGCGACATGTTTGGGAGGGGGAAGGAATCACTCCAAACGCCCCAATATTTTTGTAGGCCACCTCTATTTCTGATTTTGTGATCGAATTATCTTTTTACTATCTATATTTATGAATTATCTATGTTTCAACTTGAAAGAAAATGGGTATTAATGGATTATAGTACCTAATTGAATAGACAAAGTTTGGCGATCTCCTGATCGAAAACGCCACATTTTCGATTATTTTCGTAAATGAAAAAGTTGTGAGTTAGGATATGATGAAGTCATTTAGGAAGTTTTAGACGGATATTAATTATATGATTATACTATTATTATGTTTTATTATATTTCTTGGATAGTAAGAAAGTTTGCAAATGTTTAATACAAAATAAAATTTCATGCCTTTAGCATACTAAAAAAATCAATAAATCTAATTATTGATAATACGGTTCATTTTCTATTTAACAAAAACAAATTGGCATATAGTAGTATTAGGTGTAAGTAGTTAATTATCTGTTGGGTTCAATTGTTAATAACAGTAATTTTTTAGTCTCAGTCTAGGACGGGTGCCAGATAAGAAATTTTTTTTACTAGATTATATTTTTATCTTTTTTTTTCTTTCCAATTGTCTAAAATCAAATCTTAAATTTTTTATTTTACAAAGTTTTTCTTCAAGTTTTTTATTAATTTTTCATTTTTATATTCTTAAATTATATGGTTGATAATATGGAGAAGCCCGGGAAATCTCCTACTCTCTAGCCCCTCAACAAGATACAATTAAATTAAAAGAAAAAATAATAGAATTCATTTATTGTATAAAGCAATACATGCTTGTTACATTATATACAAAGCAAAAATATTCATAGAAAAAATATCCTATTTAATTAAATAGGAATTCTGTGGAAATTACTAAAAATCAAAATAGAAAAATTAAAAAAAAAAAAAAAGTGATGCCATTCAGACCAATATTTTGCACTAATTTTCAGTAACTCTTCGTGAAATCTAAGATTATTAATCTCATCTCCGTTGTAAGTAAATTTACAAATATAAAATAAAGACCAAACGGTTTGGAAGAAAAAAAATGCGTAGTGATGATTCTCATTATTATACCTAAGATAACCCGTCATCAAATATTTCTTGAAACATCATTTTTGTACAATATTTAAGGCATTAGTATAAATTAAATTTTAAAAAATATTTATAATTGCAAGATATTTATCATTTAAAAAATCGGTTAAAGTTTATGGACATTTGAATCAAATAGAAAAATATCATTATTAAACACTTATGGAACTCTGACTATTAGAAAGAGTACACCATCCAATTTATAATAGTAAAATTCCATTCCATCAAAAAATGCTTAAATTTAATATTTATCGTTGTTTTTAGTATTATAAGAGGGAAATGGAAATGCTGGGATATATAAAATCGAGGAACCATCGGATGAAATTAGAAAACATTTCACGTTTCTTGGAGTTCTTCGCCGTGAGGATCCAGGCATGGTGGAAAGGATCAATGGTTCGCTGGGAGATTGGACCTACCGCACAGAAAAAGAAAAAAAAACCATAAACCCATATCTCATTAAAGGCTTCCCATCAGAATTATTTAAAATGAAAGGCGTTAATCTATTTATGAATAGTTCTCTTTTTGTTTCCTCACATTTTTTTTTTATTGAGTAACATTACATTTAGCAGCAATTAAGAAACTATTTCGGAACTATAAATTAAACAGCATACCTACACTAATTTAGTTTATATTTATTGCTTATGACACAATATATGAGTACCTTGTAATATCACCTGATAAATGAAAAACTACCATCTCCAAAACAGGAATCTTTCCTAATGGTACTTGTCTCATATCCCTAATTTTTGGGGCTAGCTTTATTGTTAGCCGAATATCCTCAATTTTTCTTCTGTATAGTGTTGCCCAAATGCGAGACCGAGACGAGTCTTGGTCTTATAAACTCAGTCTTGGTCTTACGCAAGAGTCTCGTAACAGTCTTGAAGTTACTTATTAGCTTATTACTATAGAGATATTACAGTAATTTTTATTTATTTATTAACCTAACTAAGCTCGAATGAAAAATTAGATGAGTTAAATGCAAAAGTATATTGGTTATAACAATTATTTACGTATAGTAGGTAAGACATATAACAGTATTAGTAACTATTTTGCCTTAATTTTTATCAAAAAAAGCAATTTTTTTTTAACCAGTCCTGATCTTGGTCTTGCAACAGTTAGGTGGCCTTCATTGGTCTAGACCGCTTTTGGGTAACACTACTTCTATATAACATACATTTAATTTATATTATACGTTAGCTCTCACCGTATGATTAGTACACCAAGTTCATTGAATGTGTTATTCTAACTAACCTTCTACGAAAATTCACTGAACATATATTATAAAACAGAGAGATGCCCATGACTTTTCTAAATCTTTTATTAGTTAACGCCACAGCGTTAATTTATTTTATTTTTATTTTTAACAATTATCTCGTTAATTATTATGTGTTTTTATCATAAAATGAAACCTATATTCTTTATAAAATTATACATATATATTTATAGATCCATAGCTTATCTTGTTTATATTCAATAGACTGGTCATTGGTTTATGTTTAAATTGTAATGGATTGTAGCCCTAGCTATAAACAAGTCCTAGGTTCAAGTCCTAAGTCCGTAGACTTGCCAATACACAGTCTAACTCCTCCGTCGCTATCATCATTTTTTTGTTATTAAATATTTCTTAAATATTAAGCATATTATTATCTTCATTTATATAGAAGTGACTATTTTATTTTATTTATTGGAAAGTGTAAAATTGGTTTCACCTTTTTTTATTTTTTATCATTAATATATATAAATATTTTAAAATATATGTTCAAACTATAGTCCAATTTTTTTTAAATTACAAAAAACTTAATTCAAATCATAGTTAGGCGTCATTCGAAGTTTGATTTACAGTAAGATAGAATTTAACATCTATCTTGATTCCAAAGAATCTAAGTAGAATACTTCTTTTCTTTTTTTTCCTAGGAAGTTGTATGCTAATCTCTGTTTTTGGAAACAATAACTTCCAATTAAACAACAATTGATTTAGTTGTCGTATTTCCAAGTTTACATGTTTACGTTTCGTGAAAATTTATTTCCATCTTCAGAACTACAATCCCATGTTTCTTAAGATAATTACGAAATTAATGTTGTAACAACTCAATTCTGACATGTATTGTAATATGCATTATATTTAACTCATTTTTAGACATAAATCAACAAAGAAACATGGGATTGTAGTTCTGAAGATGGGTGTAAATTTTCTCGAAACGTAAACATGTAAACTAAAAAATACAACAAATAAATCAATTGTTGTATAATTCAAAGTTATCATTACCTAAAACAGAGAAAGTAGAATGTTTATAATATCTGAAATAAAGTCGTTTTTTGAGCATAAAAAATCACTTCAATAGCAAAAGTTGGCAGCACTATTAACGCCTTTGTACGATGCTTGAACATTTTTACTCCAACATTCATTCAACGTTGAGTCAAATGGGAGGAGACGATTTCGAAATATAAGAATAATCAAAGTTTACAAGAAATAATAGCTAATGAAATATGGTAAAATTGAAATTAAATACTTGTTTATTCTAAACCTTAAGCATTTGCCGAATTAGAGGAGCCGTTATTTATTTAAACTTAGGTGTGTTGTGAAAAATATGCTTGCGCATATGCAAGTGAAAGTAGGCGATGGCTTAGTTAGAGGCCACACGTGTACTAATCAGCCCGATTCCGTAAAATTTCATTAAATGCGGAATAACACACGCCCGAAAATTGAAGATGAAATTTTCAATTATGTATACCAAAGTTTTGTTACGTAAGAAATTTAAAATCGTTATCAGCAGTTATAAGTATATAACTTCAGAGATGATGAATGGTTAGAGTGTATATTGATAATCATACAATTGTTATATGAGTAAAATAAAAGGGAGCGGGACTAATTAGTGAGATAGGTCCAAAACGAAATGACATGCATAGAAGTCCTATATTATTTATTATAACATAGTACAGTATATTTAATATAGTAAGTATAATATATAATATAGTATAGTGTAGTATAACTTATTATATACGTCCTATGATTCTTATAATACTAATTATAATGGAACTATGTTATGTGTTTCTAATTACCTAGACTGATTAGCTACATTAGCTGTTAATTAATTATGATTGCAAAGTATAACCTGCAAGTACAATTTAAAGAGGTGAAGTAACTATATAGGTGATTAGTATTTTATAAAGTTAACCTTTTGAAAATTATATCTTTTACTTCTTGAATTTATGTCGGGCAGACACCCAATTATTAATCTAAAACCAAGATGTTGCTCTAGATGTTATATGCATAGATTTTTATAACATGAACTAGAAACTGACGATGGAGCACATTATTTTTATGCCTTGCATCCAAAAGATCATCGGGATTGTGGTTCTGAAGACGGCAGTAAATATAGCGAAACGTAAACTCATAAACATGTAACTTTGATAGTACAAGAAATATATTAAATTGTTGCTAATTTTAAGTAATTATTGCCAAATAGCTAATGAATTTATAAAAATGATCAGGTTTTTTTTTTTTTTTTTTTTTTTTTTTCTTCCCTACCTCGCCTTTTAGGCTATACGGGATTTTCCCGGGCCTGGGGGTGAGGGCGGGGAAATTTAAAATCCCCTCCGGCACCGGGACGCGAACTCGTACTTTTTATATCATCTCAAATCTCTGTTATCCGGTTGCCAGGCAACTAGCGGTGCTGTTACGCAAGCTTTAGCCTATTCGGCCACCCCGCCCCGAAATGATCAGGTTTATTTGACTGAGTACTCTTAAGATATTGTTGATTAGTCTTTGAATAAATGAGTATATATTCAATTTTCTTTCATCATATATGTTCCCGATAGAGTTAGTGACAACTTACGCCAGTTGGGGTAAGCTGTAACCTTTTTGTTTTTCTATATACTGAATTTTCATATAAAAATATTCGTTAAACGTACACCCAAGAATCTTTCAGATTTATTAAGGAAGAATATGTGTACAAATCAGATGCTAGCATAAATTTTGTTCAGGTTATATAAGTAGGATTTTTTAACAGTATTTATTCTACCAACAATTAACAAAAAGTATGAGAAAACATACAAATAACAAAAAACTTTTCTAATTTCTAGTCTGAATATGGGATAATATAGTGATCCCGAAACGCCATAAAAATAAAGAAAATATTTTTGGGAGAGAAAAGCTGTTTGATTAATTGTTATTAATATACCTCAGGAATATAGAGGTTTTTGGACTGAGATCACTTGTTAACATAATGGACAGATGAACAAGGAATAACCAAATCAAGAAGATAAATCGATTTTTTAATTATAAAGAATTTAAACAATACTTGTTTAGGTTTTGAGTCTAAATTGTTTCAAAACTCTCGCAGTATATCACCGAATAATTTGAACCATTACCCACAAAGATGGGCCCCTCAAAAAATGTTTACATATAAGGATGTTTCGATAATATCGATAGATATATACGAGTATGTTTATAAATTATAAAATGTTTAAAACCATTGGAATACGAATTCTTTAATACCTCAATCTTGTAATATATATTACAAAATTAAGTTACAATACTATTAAAGAAAACAGCACACGTTGTCGGCTTATTACAAATATACATTATTGATGGAGCTGAACTTTTAAGAACATTTTTTGTAAATTTCGAACTAATTTATTGTTACAAAATATTTGAGTGCACTAAAATGACACAAACCTTTATATGCCTGTTATCTATATATATATATATTAAACGTAACTACAACAAGCGCAAAATTTTATGATTTCACAAAGTAGAATTCATTGATGTTTTAAATGATTTTAGCATATGAAATGTCTCTTAATGACTTTTTTCATTAAACTGATGATATATTGGTATCTCAACTACGATATATACTATCTCAACGATTTCATTTGGATGTCGATGTCATTTGATTATATTATATTAAAGTAATATCTAAATCAAGGGTCGATATCTATAAGGAATACCGGAACAACCCTTGTTACATTACTATTAGAAGATGTATAAAAAAAAAATTCGTACAATATTTTATTCGAGATTTAAACTCAAATTACCGAATAATTTCAGCCATCAAACCTAAAAGCCAGTTAACGCTTTACCTAAAAAAAAATGGTTTCATGCCTTTTAGCGGGCAATACTAATGTAAGACAACACCAACCTACGTGTGCAGGGACCACCACCATCTAGAAGATGAAGTAAGTCGCACCAAAAATATTCGCATGTCCGGATGGACAAGAAGAGAAATGACTCAAGTACTAAATTCATGACACCCCTGTATGACGAAGTAAGAAAAGAAATGATGGCAAGTTTGACTTTGCCAGAGCTGCAAGCCAGAACCAGTGATAATGTCGCTATAAAATCAATAGCTACGACCATTGTCACTAGAGGCATTGGATTTGGAGTCTCCATATTATTATATATAACAGAGAGATACAAAAATAATATAGATTTACCAGATCCA